CGCCATGGAAGCTTTAAAAGTGGAATCTGTCCTGGGGCTGTCTGGGCTTCCTCCTCTGCACCATTATGGCTGCACTGTTGCTCTCTGCACTTGCCAGTTCTGGCTCAGTAGACTTAACCAGCATGAATCCAAAATAACCAAACCCCAATTATCTGTACTAATCTGTAGTTTTTTATCATCCCCTAGTTACACTATACATTTACATTGTTATACTGTAGGTGACCGAAAGCTGACTTGAAATATACATGGGGAAGATATGTTCTATGCAAACAGGCTATTCTACATAAAGGAGCTGACCAGTTGCAGACTTTGGTTGTTAGGGTATAACTCTTTTGGTCAAGTTTTTTGTTTCCTTGCACGTGTCTGTGGTAGACTCTCCGGGCCCCTCGAGCTGCTATGCAGATGCTGGGAAATGAACGTGGAAATAAGCTCAGACACTCCTGTATTTCCCAAGAGCTCCCTTCACACATCTTCATGAAGCACCCCATGTGTCAGTCTATGAAATGCAATTTGGATGCAGTGGAGCCCACAGCTCCCAGCCCTTACAAAATTCTGTTAACTGTTCTTAAACCTAATCTACCCATCTTTGAATCATAAACCTTAACTTCTACCTCCAACAGGTACAGTGGAAACATCCCTGAGACTACTTTACTTCTTGCCTATTGCCGAGTGGAGAATGCCAGACCTTCAAGGTCAAATCATGGTGCTCGCTCCTAATGACTGTTTAATAGATTACACAGCTTTCAAAACAGTAATCCTTAGAGCATGAGTTTAAACTCATGTCATCCTTACAAGAAGCTAATGTAGTTGCATTTTGCTTTCAGGCTATCCTCATGGACCACAACTGCCCCATTAAAACAAAAATGTACACTCAGAATAATGTCCAGTCATATCCCATCGGTGATGATGAAGAATCTGAAAGTGACTGAGACCCTCCAAACCCGCCAAATGTTTAACTGTGTAGAAGTGTTTCCAATGAGATGATTCATGCAGACTGTCTTAGTCACACCATCCATTCCTGGCAAAGAGTAAGAACCAAAGGTGATACTTTCTTTCCATGGTTATGATTGACTGCTAACAGCCTTATAAAGAAAAAGCAGCTTTTCTAGGGGTTTGTATAAATAGTGTTGAAAACTTTATTTTACGTATTTGGTTTTATTAAATATTATACAATATATTTTGACGAAATAGGTATACTGTAAATGTATAAATATTTGAATCCAAATCAAATATAATTTTTTAACTTACATTCATGAACACTTGGACAAAAAAATCTTCTATTTTTTCTGAATACTGGTAATGAGTGTCTAAAGCGCACATTATCTGAGACTCCCAACAAGAAACTAGACTCTGGGAAACAGCCACTAAGACAGTGTTATGTGTAACGCTGAGGGTGTGGTGACTCGCAGGTAGAATGGATGGATCTGTGTTAAAAGCTAGTCACCTCAAGCGCAGAGGACAGGAAACTATCAGCCATCTTTCAGACCTACTCAGCAACCTTTGCCAGAATTAGCTTTCATTAGAGCCACCAAGCTGGAAGGGGTGGCTGTAAATTTAGTTCTCTGTCCTGTCACTGGCAGCGACCATGAAGGCCAAGCAGGCTCTGTAAAAGTGAGCGCTCTCAAAGAGGAGAGCGCCCGTGTGCTGCGCTCTATACCCTGTCCAGGTCAAGCGTGACATGGCTTTACCAAACCTACTTTACGTTTTGGACAAGGAGACAAGAAAAATCTGGTTACCTCTTGCACCTGCTTGCAGGTCATCCAAGTGTTTCTCTAGCAATTTGTTAATTTTGAGTTGCAGTTATTTTTTAAACTCCTAAAAGTTGTTCATATCAATGTAGAAATGGATCTTAAAACAAAGATGAAGGAATGAAATTTTTCACGTCTGACATGATTATGCTAAGAAAGATAACAGGGTGGTCAGGACCCCTTTCCTTTCTGAAGCAGAAAAAACCATCAGCAAATGTGTGTGTGTTAGTAGACCATCGTGTGTGCTGGGTAGAATAACTTTTCTAAGCATGGCAACACTGCTGTATGTTTTCAGTGTGCCAGCTAATACTGTTAGTGAATACTTTAACTGCTCTGTATGAGATTACAATCTTCTGGAATGCAAATACAATATGGAACATGTCTCAAATAGTATGTGTTAATTCTGCAGTTCTGTAATTATAAAAATATACCTGTCAGTTCTGTTAAGCTGAATTGTGTTTGTGTGACCTTGGATGTTAAGAGAACTTTAGGGCAACAACCCCTCAAACCTTATTGGCTACACATTGTTTAGGAAAGCGACAAATGCTCTTTTGTGAAGCTTTCTGTGGGACGCTGGTGATTTGAAGTCTGGTGTGGACAGTCACACAGGCCTACATCTCTGAAAGATGGCTGTAGAGGAACTCTGGCGTAGCTGAAAGGAAAAGGCGGGCTTCCCCTGACAGCTGCAGAAGCACCGTGGTTAGAAGGGGCTTCTAGTTTTCCTTGCCCACAATACCATATACAAGAATTGATTTCTATGTCATTTCTGCTTTTGAGGCTTCAGCTTCAGTAAGAACGACCAGCAAAGGCATGTCTGTTCCTGAACTCCAGGGAAAAGATAAAAGAAAAAATTTAAAACTATTTGGAGAGCAGAGAAGTTGTTTCTGAGGGGAAAGTAAAGACATTTACATGACTAATATCCCAGGTACACAAGACTGAAAATAGTGTTTAAGAAATCCTGTGCATGTACCAGAACAAAGAACTTACAGCTCTCTGAATGTTTTTAAAAAGCAGAGGTGTTTTTGTCTGTGTGTGGTAACTCAGACCGAAAGTCTTAGTGAGGTAGCAATGGACACGCAACTCCCCTTTGCCCGCTAAGCACACCTGCCCTGGCTGCACTTCAGCTAGACCCCGCAATAAACTGTCTCCAGCGCTGCGCTGCGCTTGCCTGTGCTCTTTCACAAGCTGTCTCGTCACCACTGTTACTGGAATAAAGTACATGGAGATCACTTTGGCTGTAGACATGTAATTAGAAAGCATTCTGTTTGCAGGCACCCAGCAAAAGTCACTCCAGGCTTGGATGAACCGTCCTCCGTCGTCCCCACTGTTTCCTTTAAATGAAATGTAGGACTTGCTACAGCTTACCAGCATTAAAAAAAAAAAAAAAAAAAGAGTTGCCCTGGACTTTAACGCAAATGAATTGTTCTAATTCCTGTGAACAGATAATTATCTAAGAGAGCTATAGTATGTAGTTGTTTGACAGAACGGGCTCTAAATGACCTAGAAATAAGAAAGGGTACACATGCTAGTTTCTAGGATGAAGGTGGCCTGCTGTTCTACTCAGACCTTAAGGAACATTAAGGGATCAAAAAGGATCAAGGTAATCCCTCTTTCCATCATTATTTGCCTTTTGAGGGGGAGGATAAGGAAAACCATCACCTCAATTTAGAAATTAAGATAATACATTTTTAAAAAATTGAAGTGAATTCAAAATTTTAGGGCCCTTAAAATTTTAAACTCTACTGTCTTACTATTAGAACCAAATATATTCAAAAAGTCTTTAAATTATTTTTAGGTAGATTTTACTCTCAAAGTTTTAGGCTGGTCTTAGAATGAGAAAAAGCATCTACTCAGGAAGTTCTATTATTACTGAATGGAGTTTATACTAAGAATATAGCACACTGGACATGGTGGCACACGCCTTTAATCCCAGCACTCCAGAAGAGAGGCAGGCGGATCTCTGTTGAATTCCAGGCCAGTCTATATAGTGAGTTTCAGGACAGCCAGATCTACAGAGACAGACTCTGTCTCAAAAAACCAACACAATAAATAAAAAAGAAATATAGCATATTATGATTGCAAAATAATAGGAAAATGTTCATTTTGCTTAGCCAATCATTCAACATAATACCAATGAAACAAATACACTTTAACAGTCTAATTTTTCATCTGAGACAGGTCTCACTCTGAATAGCCTATTTATTAATTTATAGCATCAGAAAAAAAAATCCCTATCTGTTTCCAAAGGTAAGGAAGCAACAGTAAAAATCTGAATGCTTTTCTTACTTGTGTAGTAAAAGCGGATTGTTTGCTTGTCTCCATGGCTGAGTTACACCAGGCAACAGCGCTGGAGAAGAACCCATCACCTTGTTTTGCAGATGCCATCAAATGAAGATATTCTTACTTTTCGTGGTCGTCTTTATTATTACTTTAGCTACTGATAACATAGCACGGCAGCGAGATTACATGAGTGATGTAATATAATACAACCTTTTCAACTCAAGCCTTACACCTTACTCTGCTCTAGCGTCTTTGGAGTCCCCCGCTTCCCTGCTCTATAGCACAACTGGGGTGCCTCCACTGTCTCCCCCAACAGAAACATATTGCGCTACATTGGAGGTGTATGTTACAGACATCAGCAGCAGGACTGTGGAGCTCTCCATGACTGGTTCTACAGAGAGAGACACTGGAAAGCTGGAGCAGAGCCTTAGAGCTAAAGCTGTGTGCTATCCGGCCGCTCTTCCAGATGCAGCAGTTGCATGCGAGGGCAGGAGAAGACCTCCACACTGATCCGTAGACACGCCAGCCACCCAGACAGTCCACCTTCAGGGCAGCAACGACAAGTTACTGTGTACAAGATGAACCATGGCTACGCATCAGGCAGATTGTTTCAAACAGAAGACATGAAACAACATTTTAGCCTCTGGGATTTGCTGAGGGAAGTCTATTGTGGTGTTCTTATATGCTGTGAGCATGCTTAAATAAACAGTAAAGGAGTGAAGGGGGCTGAGCAGACGTAGCCTTTTCTATAACCTGCCAAAGGTAGGTCTGTGGCCTTTTACCGCACTTAATAACAGGAATGAGAGTTAGCTATTGAGTTTAAGACTGGAATAACTTCTACACTCAACAATGTTTTTCCCATGTAAGCGATACCTTTTATTTTTACAGCATGTTACTGTTTAAAGCGCTTTTGCAGTTATGCTTCTGTTTTCCTCACAACAATCCTGTGAGGTAGAGTGAGTACCTTTGGAGATGGGAAGCTGAGGGACCCTTTGTGACCTGCTTATGGCTGCACAGCTCCCTAAAGAGTTAACCTGTTTTTACTATTATACTATGCATGTTCCTGCAGCCGAAGAACTGTTCCATATAGTTTTAAATTGAGTTGGTTTACGTGTTATCATAATAGTTACCTGTAACGGGAAAACCACTTTTCTATTCTACAGGTGTAACAGGCTGACACTTTAAAGATACATCAGTAGGGTCAAGCCCACATCTTCCCTCAGCTGTTTTGTTACAGCATCCATCAGATGGGCCCATACCACAGCAAGCCTTCATTTTGACAGAGTGGTGGATGCTGTCTACTGTCCCTTTTCCTTACAATGAATGAAGACAGCCTGAACTCTACAGTGTTCAGAATGACCAATGTTCCTTTAAGGCACAGGACACCAGATGGTGTAGGATGTGGTCCTCATGCCCCGTGTGACTGCCTCCACACCACACACCTACATCGTCTCTTTTCAAACAAAGCCAGTTATCAATGCAGTCATTTTCAGAACAAGTCCTGTGAAATTTTAAGTCTCCTGAACATGCTTTATTTCCTATGGGAGAATGAAGGACGAAAAATCATCATGAGCGTTCCTAACTTCCATTTCAAAGGAAAGCATCGACATCTGAAAGACTTTCCAAAATCCTACTGGTTACTGTTCTTTAGTACTGAAATCTTATCCTCTCTACAAAATTCCTGACCAACTAGATTTTGCATTTAATCTCTATTCAATGCAACCTCTTCTAGTTAACTGCTATAATTTTACTATACTTCAACTGCATAAAAGCTTTAAAAATACCCCAGAAGCATAAGAAGCAAGCAATATGTGTAAAAAATTAAACTAAATCAGCATAACATATTAAAGCTGTAGGGTCTGCTTTCATTTACATTTGGCAACAACAACATCAATGAAAGCAAAATAAAACAAAAATCCCCCAAACCCCATCTAACAAAAGCCTCAAGCAATTGCAGCTGACAACCGTAAGACGCAGAAGAAGATTCACACCTGTTCTCCCAGTGATCACTGTTGTCAATTTAGGCATGCAACAAATTCGCTGTTTTAACCGTGATGAAAAATGAGAATGAAAGTATTTCAGGAAATCTAGACAGGACCTTATTTAACACTAATTCAAAAACCAGGAAGAAAGAAAAAAAAAAAAAAAGATGACAGTGAGACATCAC